TCTATCTACTATCTACTATCTATCTATCTATCTATCTATCTATCTATCTATCTTCTATCTACTATCTATCTATCTATCTATCTATCTATCTATCTTCTATCTTCTATCTACTATCTATCTTCTATCTTCTAACTATCTTCTATCTATCTATCTATCTATCCATCCATCCATAGCTAGTTCTCTATATATTATATCATATCTACTTATCTACCTATATCTCTATAGTGTGTGTATGTATATAGGTGTGTGTGTATATCCATTTTTCACACTTATGACAGCTGCAGTGTCCCCGGGGTCATGTGAACCTCTTTTGTGACCTTCTGACAAGCAAACTCAATGGGGGAAGCCAGCTTCACTTAATGACCGGGTGACTAACTTAACAACTGCCGTTATTCACTTAATAAATGTGGCAGGGAAAGTCATAAAGGTTAACAAATATCTCACTTAGCAACGTAAATGTTGGTCCCTCTCTATATCTATCCATCTCTATCCATCTCTCTCTCTCTCTCTCTATTGATTTATCTATCTATATCTATATCGATTTATCTATATCTGTCTGTCTATCTGTCTCTGTCTGTCTATCTGTCTGTCTGTCTATCCTATATATGCAATATGTATAGATGGCATATATTTATTTATTTATTTCCCAGATTTTGTTCTATTTATTAATTTATTTGATTCTTTTTGTTAGTCTTTATTGTTTTTCTTTTTTAAAAAAATATGGTTGTACATTCTGTAAGCCACCTCGAGTTGCCATGGGCAGCAATAGAAATTCAATAAATAAATAAATAAATATATAGCAAAATACACACACACACATCCTGACTTTTTTTTATGCCCATCCAGGGGTTAAACCCCACTGTTTCTGCCTTTTCAGACCCCAGGTGAGACATGGCCAAGAGTAACCTAAAAAGGAATTCCTCCCCCCAACGAGGTCATTTATCCCGGCCTCTCCTCCCTCGGCTGGTCAAGTCCTCTGCCCTGACTTAAGAATCCTCGAAAGACGAGCGAAACCCATCGTGCTTTTCCAATTGCCAGGTGGTCTTTAATAACAAAGAAACCTTCTGAGCCAAACTTTCAGCCCCCACGCTCCCCTACACCCGCCGTGTCTTGTTTTCACAGGACTACCCAGTTCAGCCCTGAGTTCGGGTGAGGTCTTCTCAAAAGTCACACCTGTCAACTCTTGTTCAAGCAACTGCGTAGAGACAGAGCGGTGTTTCCAAAGAGGGGTGGACTTCAACTCCCAGAATTCCCCAGGCAGCATTCTGGGAGTTGAAGTCCACGTCACTTAAAGGACTACAAACCAGGCGGCCCCGTTGTCCCCTTTCCAAAGAGTCATTGAGAGGAATCCCTGAACTAAATCCAGCATTTGCAATCCGTTGTTGGCACTTCCAGGCAGATCACAGATCAGAAATCAGCTGGTATCTCCTCAGGATCCCATCTCGGCAACAGGTGTATATTTCCTTCCCCCAAGGAGCTGCCTAGAGCAATCGGGGGGAAAATAAAATAAAATAAATGGCAGAAATGATGGGAAAGAAACTATAAATCAACAATGTCTACTTCATAGAAAGAAAATTGGTATAAGAGGTTTCACAGATGGCATTTTGCGCCCGGTTGAAATGGAATGGAATTATTATATATCAAATAAAAAACTTTTTTTGGGGGTGGTGGTGGAAAAAAAGGATGTTTATAAAGATAATCCAGATAAATGCTGGAAATGCCATCAGACACCTAGATGGTATTACCATATGTGGTGGTCATGCATAGAAGCCAAAAAATATTGGACAAAAATACACGCGCGGTTGGAAAAGACGATGCCTTGATTTTTAAAACCTGAAATAAAAACCTGAAATATATAATATTTTAAACCAGAAATATATTTCTGTTGGGGATGATACCTGAAGCTTATAGTAAAGAAAAGGCATTCTTAATCATCCATGTATTAACTGCAGCTAGAATTGTGTTGTTCGCAATGCAAGCGACGCAAGTCTTGTGTTCCCGCGGGCCGTGTGGGCGGAGCAGCCGTGTGTTCCCGCGCAGCCTGGATTAATTGCTTTGTGGCGGGGGACATTTCTCTGCGGACCACCAACGTTTTCTCGTGGATCACCAGTGGTCACCAGCGGCCAGGCGGTGGGATTCAATTTTTTTAACAACCGGTTCTGTGGGCGTGGCTTAGTTGATGGGCGTGGCTTGGTGGTCATGTGACTGGGTGGACGTGGCTTGGTGGTCATGTTATTGGCTGGGTGTGGCCAACTCAATATCACTCACATCGAGGCACGCATCTCCTCGCCTGGCTTCTCGTGACTGTGGGGATGCTGCAACAGTCATAAGTGTGAAAAACGGTCATAAGTCACTTTTGTCAGTGCCATTGTAACTTTGAATGGTCACTCCACACAAGCAAAGTACCAGCAAAGGAGGGGAAAAATAAACTCCAGAGAAGTTCCTGAGACAGGAAGTCTAGTCCTGCCCAGAATGTAATAAGGGTTAACCAAGAGGCAGTTTCTGTCAGCAACACCAGAATGTTTCCTTCCTGCCTTCCTTACAGGATTAGCCCTGTCATTTCTTCTAACAACCGGTTCTCCAAACTGCTTAGAATGGTAACAACCGGTTCTCACGAATAGGTGTGAACTGGTAGAATCCCACCCCTGTCCCCAGCCCACTGGTTGACAACCACTGGCACAGACTGACCCGACTACTCCGGAGGAGAGCATCCCACCCCTCTTCACAAGGCACACCTGGGGACTGAGATTTAAGGAGATGCTTTGGGGAGGGGCATTTGTCAGGAACAAACACTGAATTCCCGGAGTGTTGAATGCCAAAATTTGAACTTTCCTGGATTCTTTGCATCCTTTCTGGATTTCTTGCTTTGCAACCGTGGTGTTCACAGCATTAGGCTAGACTATTTGCAGCCAGAGGCTGCTTGGTGTGTGTGTGTGTGTGTGTGTGTGTGTGTGTGTGTTTGATCACTTCGCTCTGGGACTTGCCAGAAACATGGGAGCATTTGAGGAAATTTGGAGCAATCAAGGGGTGGTTTGAGCTGCCAGCTGCCTGTGTTATTTCTGTGCCCTGCCCCGAGCCATCACAATAACAACAACAACAATAACAATAATAATAATAATAGTGGCGAGTATGAACTATAAAAAAATGAATAAGAACTATTTCAAATCATATGGTCCTTGATTTTATATCCAGACATATCCTTCCCTCTTTTGGTTTTTGAAGTAGGACCCCAAATCCTTTTTGAGTCCTGCCACACACCCCTTCTTTGCTCAAAGTAAACCACGTCGTGTGTTGTTGTGTTTCAAACCTACCTTGTACACAGGATCACAGTCGGGTCCGGTTAATTCAAGCACGTGATCGAGATCCTGCTGCATAATAAAGCAAGTCCCATCACCTGCAAACAGGTAAGCAGTTAAATTCTTGCATTTGATTCTTGGCAATGCTAATTGTTTTATACTTATACTAGCTTGGTGCTTATGCTTCGCTACGAAACTACGTGGTTGGACTTAGTTTTGGGGGAGGAAAATAAGGGGGGGAAAACTTCTGCCTCTGCCTACCAGCCTCCATCGGTATTCACCTGGCTGGCATCCTGTCAGTGTGTGAGAGAATTGAGGGCTGTTTGGAAACTGAAACAGTATTTGCTGGGTGAGCAAGAAGCAGACAGCAAGGAGCCTGGGCGTGGCTTAGCTCAACTGTCCTATACTAAAGCTGCTTGGTGCTCTGAAACTGAAACTCCTCTGCTTGTGTTTTGCATTTGGAAGAGATTTCTTTCCAGGTGGGGAGGGGGAGTAGAACTCCTTAGCACCAGATCGTGTGAATAATAATAATAATAATAATAATAATAATAATAATAATAATAATGGAAATACGAATGCTCTGAGGGTCATTTCAAAACATCCTTTCTTAATGAGCCCCTAGAAGCCAAGAGGAACCTACGTGCCAATTTTCAAGTTTGTAGGCTTTATGGTTCTGGAGATTTTGTGATGATGCGTGAGGGGCATTTCGCTTTTATATAGATTTCTATTTTTCTTAAGTCTCCCATAATTTGGGATAGCGAGATTGGCAGCAGATAAATTTAATAAAGGACCATCTTTTCCCAATTATATCTACCTGACCAACCAGAGCAGGAAGGCAGGGGAGGTTAAGGTTCCCCTCTCTTAAATAGAACAGAATTCTTTATTGGCCAAGTGTGATTAGACACACAAGGAATTTGTCTTGGTGCAAATGCTCTCGGTGGACATAAAAGAAAAGATACATTTGTCAAGAATCATCAGGTACAATACTTAATGACAGTCACAGGGTACAATAAGCAATCAAATCCTACTAGGAAACAGTCAATATCAATCGTAAGGATACAAGCGACAAAGTTACAGTCATAAAGTCACAAGTGGGAGGGGAGAGGCGATAAGGAGTGATGGGAAGATGAATAGTGACAGTAGTGAAGACGAGGTCCATCTGTTGGGACCCAGAAGAAGGACCTTCTCTGTGGTGGCTCCTTCCCAGTAGAACATCAATCCTGCAGAGACAAGACTGGTCCCATCTTGACATTCTCTCCAAATGCCCCGAAGATGTGATTCTGCCAAAGGTCTTTGGCAACCCCAGGGGGATATGGAGTCCATCAAGAGGTTGGTTGGACTGTGGTTACTGTGTGTGTGTGTTGGGGGTGCTATTGGGGTTTGTATTGGAGGTCACCGTGAGTGAATGGGCGCATCCATCTAGTTTTCCTTCCCAAATAAATCATGAATGAGTTACCTTGGCTGGCAATAAATCCATCCTTATAAGGCGTCAGTGAAAGGACGGGGGCGCCTGATCTCTGGATCACTCGAATGGGAGCTCTGGAAAATGGAGGAAAAAAAATCTAGTATTTAAAGGTTTATGGAGATGCTTCGTCATCCAGGTCATAACCCCAAAGAATAGAATAGAATGGAATGGAATAGAACAGAATGGAATAAGAAATCAAAATAGAATAGAAAAGAATAGAAAGTAGAAAATAGAATAGAATAGAAAACATGGAACGTGAATAGAATAGAATAGAATAGAATAGAATAGAATAGAATAGAATAGA